ATGGTGCCCTGGAGAAAGTAGTACCCGTGGTCCGTATCACTCCGCTATTTTTCCTCGGCAAGAAATGTGCTCCGTCTTTTGAGAATATAGTTCCGTATGTTTTTGTAATTTGAAGTGGTTTCCGCGCCTAAAAAAAATGCTTTAAAGGTATTTTCTTGTTTATTAAGACCGTAGGAATGTTTTAAAAACGTTTAAAAGAAAAGTCCAGAAAGTTCAGAAATACCAAAACTATAAACACGAAATGACAGGTTAAATCGTAGTTATAATAGTCAATCAGCTGTTCATAGTATTATTATCTTTAAGTGTTGCCAACCTATTTCCAAGCGTACACGGATTACGTGCATAATAAAACCACGCTGTTTTGTGTTGTTTGGTTGGAATCCTGATGTGCGGCAAAGTATAAACCGTGCGGCAAAGTATAAACCGTACGGCAAAGTATAAATATGCAGCAATTAGCAGCTTTCTGTACTATAAACAGTACAGGGAAGCCAACTTTGTCGGGTGACTGTAGGAAAAATAATTAATTGTGTTAAGAGCTTTTGTTGCATAATACAATATTTTAACACGTTTTAAGTACCGTAGCTCATAAATCGTGTTTATTTCAACTAGTAATCAATAAATATAGCATATAGGCTACCAGTGTGATATCTGAACAGTTATAAATTATTGTGATCAGGAATATTGTTGTATAACACATTATTTACATTTTTATCGTTTAATATCCAAGCAATAGTATTTTCATAGCATTTTAAAATGTTTTCTCTAGTAATTACTTGTAATGTAAATTTAGTGATGTGCATCGACAACGATTCAAAAGTGACCACAAAAAAAGATCATATAAATGCTGCTGCGTTGTCTGGGTAGTTCTTGTTTCACGTGTACAATACACGTTTGTCGTATACTGTACCAGATCAGACCAGACTTGTTATTCTGCGTGTCGTGGCTGACAAACTCGACCCATCAATATTGGAGAACAGCGGGCCAATAAGTCCGATACGCCTACCTCGCACTGTAGGCTTACAACATGTAAACACTGACATCGCTGGCATGTAACTGTAAACGCTCCTAAAATAAATTGTGTTGAATTTTGTTGTCTCGGATTATAGTGCTGAATTGGGAGTACTTTTACAGTACTATATGTTGTGAAAGCTGACGACTCAAACAAATGTCATGCTGTATAATCCTTATTTGAAAGAACCGCAAGAAGGAAATAATACTTTAATCATGTCAAATAGGTAGTCTAAGTTATACTAGTACTACGACTAAACAAAATGTTTATCTTTAAGGTAAAAAATGATTACCGTTAAGTAAAACTGTAGACCAATCAACAGTACTGATAACTACAGTACTTGCTGGACAATAAAAAATACATTTTTATTGAACTACGACTCAAAGTTTGTACCAAACTATAGCCTTTTCCATTACTTGTAAATAAATCTTCATATTATCGTTGGTTTGGAAAGGAAAGGAATGAAGCAAATGTGTAATACTGTATGTATAAACTATACACAGTGGTTTGGTTGATATTGTGCAAAGGATCTTGAAATCCTTATACTGTACTTAAAATAAGTAATTTATTTTAAGGTTAAATATGAATAGTACAAATTATAACTCTGTCTAATCATAATTCTGCGCTGCACTGATATATTTAATTGCAGCTGAAACAGCATACGGACGTAACAATAGACACTAATCCCAGACAAGGGAGACTGTATTTGCCAAAGCCAAGAAAACTATCATTCGCCATGGATATCAACGATGATGCAAGGAGTCTAGGAAAGAATTTATGATCGGAACGAACGGAATTGTTGCTAAAAGCAGAACGTTGTGTTCGGTCGCGTGTCCCGCGGCTCTATGTACTTCAACTTCAACTTCAGAGCTGAAGTTGGTGAAGTTCAACTGTACAGTTCAGTTCTATGATGTATTCAACAATGTGCATTTAGGCTACCATTGTGACATGTGGGTGACGCCATGTTGTTTCATAGGGGCTGTATTTTATCGTAACTGTTTTACATGTAGCCATACCTCGAGGATTTGAAGTTAAAACCTACAGTAGAGTATCCCTATAACAGGCCAGTTTTGATTGCTAACCAGAACCACTATTGAGAAAAAACAATCAAAACAAAATACTTTGTTCAGGAAAAATAGCAAAAATTGCCATTTGTATGAAATTTCATAAAAGCTATATTAAAGTTTATGTTAAAAGTTAAAATGTTCTCCAAGAAAGTAACCAGGGTATTCCAGTTGTAGTATTTACTTGTAAACCTTCCCGTGCTGATTATTCGTAGAAAACAAACAAATAAGATCAAAAACATTGTGAACTCTGTAGTTTGAGCAGAAATTCTCATCACTTGTCCAGAATATCTGTTTACAAAATCCTCAAATACTTAATTTGTATGACATGCCTAAGAATAAAAGACAAACCTACAGCCAGCAGCGTTATCCATACTCGTTGGTTCACCTCTCCTTGTCAGATAGAGCGAGGGGACGACATTTACAACACTCCACTTATCCCAGGGATGTACTAGACCACGTGTTCAGTTGGGGAGAGAATATTTAGCACCATGCAGATGATTAGAATAGAATCTCGCACTGTAACTGAGTTACTCCTAAAGATTAACGCAACCGAAGAGTTACCATTATGCACTCAGTTCTTTCAACCTTATTTGACAATGTAGTCCGGGTCCAGTGCGTACTCGTTCGGATAGGTTGATTAGGGAATGACAAAATCGTTAAATTCGTGTTGAATCAAAGTCGTCTTATCTTTATCAGTTCACCTCACTAGGTCTGCAAAGGACCTGATCATGCGGTATTGGACCTGATCATGCGGTATTAGACCCTACAAGTGAGCGAGTGCTTCTATATAGCCGGGTACTCACATTCAGAGCCATTCACCTGCCTTTGCTTTGATAAGATTACGGCTTATAAAATGTCAAAGCGCTTGATGGTAAATGTCTCAAAGTGATCAATGAAGAACCAACTCAGTCTCTTTGAGCATTGATAAGTAAGTTTCATACCACTACCTATTTCTTATTTAGGCTTTTGCTCAATTAGGTCGAATCGATTCTTTTCATTAAAACTATTCAGTTTTAACTAAACTGAATTGCACAGTCCTATGATGTTCCTAGTCACCGAATTTCTATAGTGGGAATGGCATATTTTATTTGCATGGGTCTAACAAGTTATCACTATTCCTGTCAAGTTATGTTAACAAAATTATGATGTACGTATCTATAGAAATGACGTTATGACGTACGTTATGTTTGATTGCATATATTTTACAAAGTTCATGGGGTTTTATGGAAAAATAACTTCATCATACATTCTCAGCCTAAAATATACTTTAAGAGAAGTGCAGTTCCTTGAAAAGTATCGCTTTTTACCATGGCAAGATTCTTTGGTAATCCATTAGACGATTTTTAAAAAGTTATTAATTATTGTTGACAATTAAAACATCATAAATTTTAGGACCCATAAAAACTTTGTGGTTTTAATTATCAAAATGTCCCAATGAGAGTTTGAACTCTTTCTCCAAAGTATTATTTTCCTTGTGTATGAGAAATGATCTAACATACATAACATTGTGTCGAAGGATTTGACATGGGTTAAAAAGTGATTGTGGGTGAAATTCTCGTAAATCAATTAAAACACCGTTGACACGTCCCCAATATTATGTCCCACACAATCATATTATCATAATCGTACAAAAGTATGCAATAATTAAACTTGCTTAGGTAGTTGAACACGGAAGTGAATTGTTCATTCAACCCGTACAAAGTAGTGTTCAATGAGTGTAATGCATCAATGACGTCAGTTCAGCCATTTTCCACAGTCAATACATCAATTATCCGTCAATTGACTTTCTCTTACGTCATACCCATCAAGCCTTCACTTTTCATTGTCTCTTTCTTTACAATTTCGTCAGATGTATTCGCCTCGTTGAACTACTTCGTTGTCATAATTGCTACAATTGCTACCTAGGTAGTAAAACGGAAGAAGATGAATTTTGCTTCGATTGAGTGTATGTTTGAGTTTGAATATTTCACTGGGAAATATTTTGGCTACTACTATGGATTACCTATGCTTAAAATAACTAAACAGAATTGCAAATTTGAGGGTTTTCACTTGTTTGTACATTATGTATTGTTGAGGTATAAAAAACTTAAGTTGGTTTTTAAACACTGTAGCAATTACATGTTTTACCTTACCTATTCAATGGTTTGTTTGTGCAGAAATATTCTCAAGGGACTGACAGCCTGCGTGTACAATAGTCGCATACGGGTTTATGTTCTGAAAACATATAAATCATTAAGATTTGGTACACGACACCAATATAATTTTTAAAAAATTTTTATTTTTTATTCTAAAAATATTATTTTTGAAGGAATTAACCATCAGTTTTCTAAAATATCATGGGAACGTCCCGCAAAAAGTCAAAAGGATTTCTTGAATGTAAGCATAGGTCGATATGAAGGGTGAACATAAAATTAACGGTCTTCTTTAGTAAAATACAATGTCACAAACTTGAGCTAAAAAGAACAACAGAGTAAAAAATTCCAGTCGTTCAAAGATTGTTTTGAATCATTTTGAATGTTTTGAACGGCTGCCATTTTTGACTCAGTTGTTCGTTTGAGTTCAAATTTGCAGCTTTGTTTTCTAAAGACCTTTAATTTGATGTACATTAAACCTATCCTTATGTTTATGATTTTCATCCGACTTCTAGAGGGCCGTATAGTACAAGTAAGTAACATCGCAAATTTGATGAATCTTTGAACAGCTGTCATTTTTGACTTGGGTTTCCGTTTGAGTTCGGGTTTGTGGCATCGTATTTTATTGACAACGACCTTTAATTTAACCAAAGTTTTTGCTTCTGGAGTAGTTGTTTCAGTGAGTCCCGAATAGTAGCATCCCTTCTGCACTCATGTTTTTGCGACGGAATTTTACATCCATGTGGTTATGTACGTTATGTTATTTATGTTAACACTATGGTCTTGTTACAGGCGGCTGCTACGGGGCGCCCGGTCCCGGCCCCGTGGTGGCGGCCATGCTGGGCGGCGCCCCGGTCATGGGCGGCATCAGGACGCCTGGGCGGCCCTGGCCCACCCTGGACATGTCGCACCCGCCACCCGCCCATCAGCCCAACCATCTAGGCGCTGACAGTGAGTATCCTACAATACACATACATCTTGTACTCATGTTACTATGCAAATATCGACATTTCTGAAGCGTTGAAACGTGTAAGTTGTCGGGACAAACTTTAAGTTAAATTTATACGGACCAAACTACGATTTTTTAAATGGTAGATTGATCCGTAGATAGATGTAAACAAAAAAAAATTGGTCACTATCTTCGCCAATTTAACGTTAGTGTTATCTTCCATGATGAATCTATAGTGAAAAATAACCCTCCTGAAAACTTATTTTGAGTTTTTAACCCAAAATGCAAGGTGCCATCACATACAACAATTTATGACCAGAGAAATCGAGAAATCTCTTTCCACTGAAAGTGGATCTCATTACTTTTACTTTATGTCACGATTCTATCAATTATAAAGCTTTTTGTCTCCACCCACACACCCACCCCGACCCCAAAGCTCTGAGCCCTGTGGACTTCCTCGCAGGTCGAGGTTCCTGGACGACCTTTGTTATCAGATTATGAAGGCAGATCCCTCCCGTGTGTCCTGCCTCGTCAGTCAGGGAGGGAATAGAGAAAGGGAGAAATTATTTTCCGAGAGAGCGGATTTGATCCTAATCCCGTCTTATCTATATCGCTGATCGCCCGTGACGCCCGTAGACAAGCCTCTGGCCTCACCTGTCTGTTGACAAGGAATGAGATGTTTGACAGCCTGTTATAAGTCTTAATCAACGGTGGCTACAGTGGCGTTACGTGTTAGTGTTACAACATTGATGTTGATTCTAAAATTCGACCCTAAACTAGGCCTATATTATACCAATCAACAGTGGGGATTTATTAGGGAAAATAAAAAAGCCGAACAAAATACGATAGCGCAGTGTAAATAAGAATTACTTCATACATACACGGTGAGTCGCATGCTCCTGGTCCTTGATTATGTATCAAACCAAAAAGGTTTCGTGCCTCTACTATAACGATCCAAAATAAAATGTAAGAAGAAAATTTGTATGCACATCAAGGATGCGCGACTCCTCTTCGATTTGTATTGTATGCACATCAAAATATATTTAAGAGTCCTCTTCAGTTTCAACGCTCATCAAAGATGTACGACTCCTATTAAATGTGTATGCACATCAAAGATGCACGACTCCTCCTCTGTTTGTATGTACCACAAATATGTACCAGTCGCAGTCCTCTTCAGTTTGTATGTACATCAATGATTCTTCTTCAGTTTGTACGTATGTAAATCAAAGCTTTACGAATCCTCTTAAATTTGTATGTACATCAAAGATGTACAATTCCTTCCTTGTTTTAACGCACATCAAAGATACACGTTTACACCTCAGTTTACATGGTCCTCTAATATATGGAAGTGCCACAGTATGCGCTTACACGACAAACTGGTGTTTCGTGCCTTAAATATACACGTTTATATCTCAGATTGATTGTACGATAGTCAAAGCTGAATTTTCACACCGTGAAGTCATACGTCAAACATCCACTTTCTCCCCTTAAATCGAATGGTGTTAGATCCTCTTCCGTTTACTCAGACGTTAAAATTATCTTCAACATACTCCTTATCTGGACGTTGTGATCCATCTTTCCTGTCGAGTTAGTTATTTTTTAATTTAGTTAACTTATACACAATTTCCTCATTTACACGGAATGCAAGGCGTTCTAACGCTAGAACAGAGGCACGTCCTGCATTCCTACCCATCGAGGTAGACTTCGATGTTCCTACCACAGTTACCTGCTCGTGACTCTCGGCGAGTGTTTATTCGGTGAGTAATGGTGGCTAAGTGACCACGCATGCTATTGCCCACCTCTGTCGACTGTCCACGTACGACCAACGACTACGACCGATTGTGATTGTGGCTGATTCGCTTTTAATAACAGGCCGCTGCCGTCGTCCTACCGGTGGGAGTGGATGGGAGTGGATGGGAGTTGAGAAGGGAGTGTTTCTCTCCGCGGTGTTTGACCGAGAGCGCTGCAGTCAAATCATGTTTACTCCTATCTAAAATTAGTTTTACTGTACTAGATTTTTTAACACCAACTTATTTTTGAGGGATTAGCAAAAAAATCACATACGTGTGTAACTTATACTATTGGTCGCCATTGTGTAAGAAATATAATACTAAATATTCGGGAATAAAGTGCAGTTGGTGTAGAGGTACAAGGGCTGGATTGTTCGAGAAATGTCCTATTGATATTTCTATTTTTTAAGAACTGTCATGAAAATAGCGAGGTGCAAAATTGAGGTATATTGCAATTTAGCAAGAGAAAAACGAAGATAAATCAGTCTATAAAGTATTCTTTGATCCTCCTCGTCGCACGACTATTTTATACTGTAGTACTTTCATGACGGATAGGGGGTGTATTCCAGACCATCATGAATAAAATTCCTAAGCAGAAAGGAAGTTAGTTTTTTGAAATCAGCAAATCGTCTGTATTTTAATTCGTAAGAGTCAGTTGGATATGGATTAATCGAAATGAAAAATGTAACACTTGAAGTCCGCCAAGTGTTTAAACCATATAACTGTCACTGAAATAAGAATTCTCTGTTCTTCTCAGCCAAGTGATGAGCAAATTGACAACACATTGAGAACTTTCAGTCATCACTGTGTGACCGGCTCACATGTGGATGTCATTATTTTAGAGTACAACTATGGCGTGTTGCGTAATTTGTTTGATGCAACTCTTTGAATCCTTCCGGTTTAAGTGTTGTATTGATAGACAGACAAGTATGTTCTTGAATATGGTCCAATGAAAACAATCTAAAGCTATTGATAAGGTTATAAGAAATTGATTATGATGGACAAAATTGGAGTTAAGACGCCTACACAGTGTGCGTATTCCAAAGCGGAAATGAGTTGCGGATGAGTGTTGAATTAATTAGGTAACAGCTTTGTTACTGTCTACAATCAGATTACTCCGTTTTGGGCGATGAAATAAAATCCCAATAATCAAGGACAGCTGCATCCAATTTCTAACCACCAAAGTCCTTTGAATGTAATATGTGACATAAATGGGACCAATAGGAGTCAGAAGAAAATAAATATACCGTAAGATATATTTACGGTTATAAGATATACCGTAGTATATAGTCATCTTGAATATAAAAGCTTTGAACTTACAGTATCTCAGGATCGTACCGGTGACTCACTGATTACTAGACGTGCAATATCCACTCAATGACCCAACTAATAGCTATACCGTACTACGGATAGGCGATACAAAGGGCAGGCATATTTAACACGGACACATATCTCAAACTTAAACAGAAAGCGCTTCAGTGATACAGTATTGCGTCGTAGGGTCTATGAGGAGCGATCATAAGACTTCCCGCCACCGCGGCGACATAGAGTAACAGAGTACAGCTTCTACGGTTACACAGAGAACCCGACTGGGATTTTTCTTTTCCGCCGACTGAGTATAATCCGATTCAGGTGAAACTCAATCTTCACACACGACTCGGAGAATCCGTAGAAATTGACCTCTGTGTGAAGTCTCGACCGCGGGGTCTCGTGCTTGTTTTTACCATTTGATATTTACAAACTAGATCTACAGCGTCATCATCCGATACTATGAGAATTAGTAGAAATTGAATGTTGAACTCTCAAACTGGCCTCGAGAACGTACTTCACTTTACAACGGTCATCAACTTTAACCTATTTATTACTTATGTAATCTTCAATTGCAGCTATCGGTGAATCAGCAGGCATTAGACCTTGGGTGAGATATTCAAACCGTTCTTGCTCCCTCACGCCATTAAAATGTCAAATTGTACCAGTTTTTCCTGTTTTAATTTTTCTACATGCCCATTCTAAAATGCTATTACTTTGAACTACGGTAAACCCATAGCTTTCTGTTATTTGATGGATTATTGTGAAGATTTTCCAATGCAGTTGAGTAAACATAAAACTGCGTGACGTTTCATGACCTCCGGACCTGCTTGAAACCCATCCCGTCTGTAAAAGGAGAGAAAACTTACACATGAAAAAATACTTCTCTACAGCACAACGCCTGGAAACATTATTATTATAGACATTTCCAATTGAGATAAAAACGCCATCTCGGTGTGTATTTTAGCCAAAATATGAGTGAAGGGTGAGTGTAGAAGTAGAATGAAGTGATTTAACTTGTTTCGCTCTGTTACTGACGAAGATTAGATGTTTCATTTGCCAGGACCATACAAAAATTCAATTATCCAGGCTGGGTTCATTTTCAGTATATTATGGAAGCTACTGATTCTTCTCGTGTCAAACTGAAATAGCTTTCGGCCTCCAATAAACGTTTGTAAAACGGCTAAAAACATCGTAGTGTGGTGGAAAAATCGAAAAATCTTTTCGAGAACTTAAGGTTGCAACATACTTGATTGAAACATGTACACTGCCGACCCCGATAGTCGATAATATCTCGTAGTAAACTGAATTTCGATCATTTATGTCCATTGTTTGTTGCAGGTTTCGCCAGGTATGGAGTGTACTCTCTGCTACCCAGTGACGTGTACGCAGCGCCGAGGTACGCGCACACACAGACAGTGGCTGCGCCTACCTACCACAACATACTGCCGCCTGCGCATAAAGGTAGGTCTACTACAATCTACCTTTTACCATTGACGTCAATTGGTATGGACCAGCTGTAGCCAGTTTTGCAGTAGAAGATAGCTTACAGTTGGTGTTACTGTCAAGATTCTATTTTCTCTATATGGAAAATGCCACAGTTTACCGTTAGTCGTCCTGTCCGTTAAGTTTGCTTAAAGGTCGGTGTGTCGGATACTACAGAAATTAATCAGCAATTGACAGCAGCACAATAGTTGTCGTTGGCTCAATTCAACAATGTTTGATTATCACTTAAACCATAGATAAAAGGAGTATAGACATCTAGAGTATAGAGTAGGCCTATAATATGTCTACTTCTTTTAATCTATGGTAGTATCGCCATTCGCCAGTATCGGAGAATTAAGATACAGTATTTTTATATATTCTGTAATAGTGTGAATTTAGTTGATGCCTTGGATGGATATACAGTAGATGGCTGAAATTCATGTAAGAAGAATATACATGTAGCCTTCAGAAGAAAGAAAAAAGTATGGATTTAAATACCACCTAAACAGTTCATTTGAATTAGCTTCTATCGTCTAGAAATTATAACTTAGGTCTAAATCCCAATACAGTAACTGTACTATTGTTTCTAAAAAATACGCCCATCCTGTCAATCAAATATTACACGAATACAAGATAATACCACGTACAGGAATTGCAATATTGGAAACTATGCATTATTCGAAAACGATCGAAATCCCAGCGGAAGTTGACTATTTATCTCGCACGCGACCGGTTTCGCGATTGCAGAACCGGACCGCATCAAAACCCGGTGTGGCGGGAATCGATTTCGAGCGGGTAATTTAGGGCGGTATTGGCGCGAACAGTGTTTGACGCCTCGGGCGAGGAAAGGGTCTCGGATATCGCCTTTAATTACGCCCTGTGGTGGTGCCGTGTTGATGGCTGCTGAATATTGACTAATCCAAAGACGAATTAAACTAGACACCTTCGGTTTCATATTTTTTTGTAGAAGCCCATTTTCGTACTGGTAGTTGAATTGTAATTTTGGCCCGCGACTATAGTTAGCACGATGGAATCTATTTGAGCAATGATTTTAGACAAAAATGAATTAATCAGAGTTGGTTGTATGTGGTTACCGGTTGAATTTTAACGTGATTACGACAATTGCGTAGGAATTTGACGGGGCAACTTCTAAAACTGCAAGCCATACTTTTATGCTAGGTTTGTAACGGATTAAGGGTTTAATTTTTTCTACACTACACTATTTTGTCATTTTTACGTTTTTTTTAAAGGAAGCAGACCAAGATCTGGTCTTATTACTACGTATTATTATCAGCAAGATCTGGTTTTATTACCACGTATTATTATAACGTCGGTCATTCGTTGTAGCATAGCATATTAATAGATAGCCCAATGGAAAATGACATCCGGATTCCAAAATCGACTTTGAACGGCAACGAACCAGCAAACTTCACTTTAGACTGATGACTCTAGTTTCTACATCATATTATTATTAATTAACACATTGAGTCTCGATTTTTACGATGTTTGTACAACGATATTGATCCCAAATTTCAAAAGAATACTGAAGACATTTATTTGCGTTTAAGGGTTGCAATAATTAGTTCCAAATAATGTAATACTTTTAATAAAAACTCCCTGTTTAGTCACAGATAGGCTATACTGAATTCCATCCCTAGGGTCGTCGATCGTCAGTGTCATATCGATATGTACCTACTCCTGCAGCTTCCATTCCACTGATGTTGACCGAGTGTCTTGTTTCTGTTCCAGAGTGCGTGTTCACGTATCCCACGGCCCCCGGGTCGCCGATCACGTATGGGGCGCCCGTCGTGGAGCGCGGCATCTCCCAGCTACAGGAGCTCATGTCCAAAGGGTTGGAGAAGAAGCAGCGCCCTCTGGAGGCGGCGTCTGAGCGGCGACCCAAGAGACGGTCCTGGGAACCCGCTCCGCAGGACGACCCAGCCTGTTCTTGCAAGGAGAAAACACCTGTCGGTAAGTCTACAAGCTAGGTAGATAGCTGCGATTGCAAACTATTGTGCGAATCTGCGTTACTGACAGCTACTTTGCCATCTATTAAGTTTGTGTTGTGAAGTTCATGTTTTAATTGAACAGCAATTACTGTACTTAGCACGTTGTAGAGAAACTAAACACGTACTCAGCGATTAACGAAAACGATTATTCACTCTAAATTAAAATGATATTCAAGAGACGTCGTATCATTGACTTTATACTATAAAGTCAATGGTCTTATGGTCTTATTTTCTGAAGGTAATTAAATAAATATTTGTCTATGACCAATTCGTTGACAACAATAGACAAAGATGTCTTAATAAACGAGATCTCGTATATTTTTCTAGAGCATTTTAATTTTAAGGTGTTAAATTCCTAAGTGTTTCACTACCACTGGGTATATTTTAGAATTAAACAATAAACTCTTGAGCAATCTTATTTTTGGATGTGGCGGAGAAAGTAAGGGACAATACAAATTACAACCGAGACGTAAAACGCCCAGGTAAAAATAAGCCTACCATTTGCTCTTTAGAATATGATTTAATGTTCAAAAGTAGTGCTACCTCTTTTAATGAGAATGTTTGGGTTCAGACAAATAAATAACGTTTTCCGTACATTACTAAAATCTACTCTCATCACTTTAGAATAAAATAAAACCGTTGATACCAGTGCGTAAATACCGAATATTGCCCGTGTGGCGGTTGTATCAAGTGAATTGCAGGCACCTGTGTTCCCCGTCCCACCCTAATATCACCCCTTTGATTTTGATTTTATACGCCTTTGTGTCGTCGTCAGTGCATTTGCCTTTGAACTCTAAAGTTTTATTGATGCTACTCATATTCACTCTGTTTTAACCATGTATTTAATTCAGCGTATGTTACCAAAGCATTCTGTTTTATGTAAACATATAAATCAAATCAAATCAAAATCTGTTTTATTTCCAAAAATCTTTTACAATATTACATATACAAAATACGAACAATAGTCCCGCATAGGCCGTAAAAGACCTGTGCGTGGGACGAGCTCTATTAATTAATATCGGCTTACTTGATAGATAAATGTAGGCTAGATCGTATTTATATTCGTAATGTCTCAAAACTTGTATCAACCATATTCTTTCTATTTAGTTATCAACCATATTCTTTCTATTTAGTTGTGTTAAACATTTCGTTAATACTTCAGTTGAACTTCAGTTGATAGTTCGTGTACTTCAGTTGAAGTCTAAAAAAGTCTTTTCATTTCAGAACTGTGTCGGTTATGCATGTTAAGCTATCAAAATAAATCGAACTCTTGGAGAGGTCAAGAATGAAGAATATTCTGCTTACATAAACAATTTTAAGGATATTGTATCTATATGGTATATTGTGTCCAAACCCGTTTCATTTATCAACAATTTCAAATTACTGTACACGCACGGTTTTTCTGTCATTGCAACGGTTCTGTGAAGCAAATTTTCTGAACTAGTGAAGTATCAACTGTGTAGGTTCACGAGAAGCACTGTACCACCATTTTGATTTGTACAAAACTATTTGTGATGTCTTGTGTAACAAATTTTACCAGAATGCCAAAAATGTTTCATGTTATTTTGTTGTAGACCTTTACGAAATAAGCGTAATGTGACAGTCGTAGCACACGTCAGCTGTGACACACTTCACCTTTCGTACTCTGTGTCGCTGTGTACCTTGGCGGGAAATGTCGCCTTGGCAACGCCGCAAGGTCACGTGATCGCGTGCGCGCCAACGCGGCAAGTGAAATATGTCGTCCGCCCGTGACATTGGCAGGGCCAATTTTTTACCCGACACGCAAAATCTAAATTTCCTCCTTTGGCGACAAACTGAAAAAAATACTGGTCCTTAAAATTGATATTTCAGTTAATGAGTTAATTGTGGAACACATTTTAGTAATTTCTCAGCGCTTTTAGTAGATCTACTGTAGCTGTTTGACACGTTCATTTGTAGACATAGTGATTTGTATAAACGATAATTGACGATAAACCCATATATACGGATTAGTATGCTCCACACGTTCTCCTCCATCCGCTGATTCGCTGAATAGGAATTAGCATGTCAAATGATTATAAACATATACTGTATTTGTGGAAGATTAGACTGATGTTCCAAAAATGTCGCCTGTGGAATGGTAAATAAAGTTCATGGAGTTGTTATTGAGAAGTATGACAGGCATTTTGTATAAACCATTGTTGTAAGAAACTACCGTCTTCCTATACTCATGATAGGATTGTATAGAATGCATAGCGGGTGTCTAATATTCAACCAAAACATCAGTCATTATTATAACACGACAGATAAGGAAATTTGTGATAACATGCACGATAGGGTGTAAAATATACGGAACTCCTAATATTTATCCAAAATATCAGTCATCGCGCCCTGACTTGCCCACATAAACTAAAATCTTCTATAATAAACTAGTTGTCTACAGCAATCTCTCCTCAATGTTTTGGACCAACCCAAGTCCTTCAGTCGGGAACTCAACGAAGTTCCCTTTTCTCGAGTACATATTTCATTTTCGCTTTCAAGTGCAGTCGTACTGCACTAACTACTCGCCGAGTGTTCATGTATAACTGAGATGAAATAAGAGAATCGCCGTCGGAAGGGAGGACCCCCCTGTGGGAGTTAACCCCCCCCCCACAACCCCCTTTTTTGCAACCCCAGTTCCGCAATTACGTCCGTTTTCACCCTGCTGCCTCACTGGAGTACACTATTGATAAATTAGGAAGCGATCGTGATACAAGTAATTACAGGTATATCGGTGTTTCACTCCAAGTTTCGAAATTAACTTTGTATAATTGTCGATTTATTTATGGATTGTGTGCTTCTAGCTAATCTAATTGCGATTATAGTAGATAGGTTATGGTTATGGAACAAGTGATTTCACAACTTTGTGATTATCATATCGCACTCCTCAGTCAGTAGGATATTGATAAGAATTGTTTAATTTGATAGTGAAATAATAGTTGTTACTTTGTGACGATTAGATTAGAGGTTTTGCAAGATAAAGGTTTATTTATCAAGGAGTTTTAACAATATTTATCTTTAGATAAATTACTATCAGGGTTTTCTCCTAGGCGTCCCACAGAATATGTGTACATTGAATTGTTATCGAAAAAAATTTAAGTCCCTTACAGATATGTCAGATTTACACAATTATTTAACACATCTTATGATAAATGAATATCATAGGCTTATATTTAACCTTAAATCCCCTAGCAAATATATACATTTATTATACACATTTACCGACGGTTATGTTAGTTAAAGGTACAGTATCGTCAGTACTGTATCTTCAAAGGCAATAATGTACACAATATTTTTTCGCAGATGGGAAGATTGTTTTAATCTTATCGCATTGCATGCATTATTTGCCAGCTATAGTGGTAGGTTGTATCAAGGGTCCAAGGTGATAGTCATCAAGCGATTTCGTACTTTGTCATTGTCGAATAATTAACAACTTTTGAGTGAAACCAGCCCCCACCTCGTTGTCTCCACGCGGCAGACATATCCTGAAGACATTGTATAAGTTTTAACAATATCCCCTCAAGTGATATTCTAATTTGTGATATTATCTCTGTAGAATACAATCAGTATTTTTACCAAAAGCCAAATAAAAACAGTCTCGCCAAAAAAATCTGCTGTAAACACGAATACGAATGTGTCACTACTCCCATGTTCTGGGATCAGACCAACTATAAAATATTGCAAGTTTTGCCCTTTTTTAACTTCCGCAAAGCGGGTCACGCCGTGCTCTGGGCTGGAGCCGCCGTGTACAGTCCTCCAAACCGGTCCCCTGTTGGAACTAATCCTTTCTAAACCGGTTCCCCTTCTCTGTCCCCACGCCCCCACTCTGCCCCCCCCCCCTCCAGTGATAACCGGTTCACAGGACTACAGGAGATCAGGAGATGTTCACTTGTTAATGTTCTGTAGCATGTCGGCGCGGCGGGAGTCGCGGGTGTTGTTTCTTGGCAAAGTATTTGAAGAATGAAGGTGATGCTCGAAATGTTGTCCACACATTACGGTCTGAGAAGAATAAAAGCCACATGAAATACTCTGTGTGTTTAGGCTGTACATAGAACATAGAACCCCATCTCTTGACATCTCAAAAATAAATAAAGAGTAAATCGAATTTATTCAGATTCTCTCTTGATAATATACTCAACCAGACGTTCCTTTTCGTGTCCATTCAAACTATCTGTTGCTCAATTAGACAACTGTTATTCCCAAAACTATACCTAAATATCTTTAAATTTTGATTACACTCGATGAATTTCAATAAAGATAGAACATAAACAACCGTATATCATAGTAAAATAAAATTTAGTTCCCTAATTGCCAATTAATAACATCATTTGATGTTATTGATTTGAAATGAACTTATGGGTTGAAGTCTAGGCCTTTTATTTAATAATTATGATCACATGTAGTACCATATTTAAACCATAACTAGTGTCCCTGTTGCTCGAATTCGAGCAATTGCTAAGTATTACAGGTGTTATTTTTAAACTAATAACAGTCATTATTTCTGATGAATTAAAAAGATTCGACTCAAAGATTATGGAAATACTCACAATGTACATAACAGATTATATCATTTAATCAAGGCTCTCTTGATTTTTTCCATTGTAATATTTGCGCCAACCCAAATTAAAATTTTGTAAATATCTCAATTCAACCAAGTTAGTAAATGTTTGTATCAAACTTATTGACTGTTTACAATTAACATGTTTTCTTCTTCTCACTTTTCATTTCTGTCAACAGCTGGAGTTTCATAACAATTTTTGTTTCCCATGTTAATCTTATGGAGAAATACGAAACTTTAAAAGGTCCCAGGGCCTAACTCTCTAATTATTTCCATAAAAAGAAAGTTTCCTGCACAACTTCACGTCACGCTCTTTCCAATGACACCAAAAACATGTCAATCGGTTCAGTAGTTTCAGAGGAGTAATTGTCACAAAAAACCTGCTT